CCCCAGGCTGGGAAGTCACACCAGCTGCCTGCACGAGGCTTTCCAGTTACAGACAAACATGGGTTCATCTGTAATGCAGAAAACCAGCCTGCGTATGGAAGAGGGCAGGCAGGGAGAAGCAGCTCGGGGAGGGGACGTGGACTCTCAGGCACATCGCATAATCCTTTTTGAAGTATTTGATCTTAAATTTAAATGGCAGTCCTTCCTCACAGCAATTTTATTTTTAAATATAAAACCTTATGAGTCTATGGAATGGAAGGAGACTATTACAGAATCCCAATATTTAGTAGTTTTAATATAAAAACTTAGCACTGTCATTACAGTCTGCCTGTTCAAAGCAGTATGCAAACATTAATTATTCTTCACAGCAGCCCAAGGAAGTAGAAGAAGATATTGATTATAAAATAGCCTCAGTCTGGAACTTCAGATTCAGATGCAAGTTCCACAACACTTTAGTATGCTTTTACTTATTCTGTAACTAAATCCTATTAACATACTTAGCTTAAAGGTCTGATGGTTTACTAAATACTACACATCAAACTGGCGGCGGAACCAGAATTAACTCCAGAGGTCCTGACAAGAGCTACTGGACAACATTCCCCATTTAAAATAATGTTTCTATCTGCCCAGGAGCTCGCTAATCTAACATACATTATATAAACACTGACTGTCATTTCACCATCAAAAGCCTACAGAAGATGTGTTAGGCCTTACAGAAGAAAACAGGCTGCTTCTGTGCTTACAGCAACATCCTATTTTCAGCAACGGTTGAAAATTCATCAGGCGATGAATTCAGAAATGTAACCTCCTCTGTCATCACCCCACCTTATTGATTTTGGAGGACAAACTGGGATTCAAAGAGTCAGATGTGTCCATATGCGCTGAAGCTCTGTCAGGAGGGTCAGTTTTTATACGACTGCCCTTTAAATGCACATCTAGTTTAGAAATGAGTCAGAGTCCCCATGTGCCCTGGAGAAGTTCCGATCCGGATTTAGATCTGAACTTTAGATCTTTTTTATCTCTCTGCTTCTGAAAGTTAGAGTTGACTATTCAGGCTCCTGGGAGCTAAAGCAGCATAATGTTTTATTTTCTCTTGCTAATGCATCAATTGATTTTCTTTTTGTGAAAATAATTGATTTGGTTAATATTCTTCAACAAGGATGGATGCCCATCTTCAGTCTGCTAGCACCTGTATTTATCTAGCAAGGAGAAAAAAACCCACAATTTGGAACTGAACGACAACACTGTTTTGCAAAGTCAGAACAATCAATAAGAGTTTTGACTGAGCAAGGGCATCTAGATACATATATGCTTACTTGCTGTAATAACCTTACATTTGATTCTGAAAGTTAACAATCATTGTGTTAATTAATTGTTCAAACTCAGTTATCATAATATTGTGTGAATTTGAAAGCATTCTGATATACAAGGTGTCCTAATTAATAACTAGGCTTTAAAAAATTAGGTGGCTGTAGAAAAGGAGAAGTTTCAGATCATGTGTCCTGCTGAATCACTGCAGTTCAGCTCACTGAAGCTGACGATCAAAGAGTAGGCAAATCATTTTCTTAAGGAACATGACTAGGGATCCATCTAAACTGCCAAAAATACAATGCCACTTGGGCTAAACCAGCATGAAACCAAAACTTCAGTCTACGTTTAACACAAGCTATTATTTCTTATTAAACCATAGGTGTGTCTGCACTACTCTTTTAACATGAATTCACTAACTGAGGTCAGTCAACCTCAGCTAAGATTGCATCATTTAAGTCTGTTTCCTAAGGGGAGAGGGCTAATGACACTGTCTGTACTTGCCTAATAACTTTTGACTCTTTTAGCCTATTGCAACCAAGTTTGACAGAGGAGTAGGGTTCATACTGACATAAAGATCCTATGCATGTAATGAGAAGAAATCTGCATAGGAAGAATATTCTCTAAGTGCTTCTACCAAGAGAAAGGCTCAATCTTTTTTTGTTATCAGAGAACCTGTATTATTGAGGTCAGGAATGAGAAGACATGAATGCTGCTGCTGGACCACAGTCCAAGTTTCTTTCTACCAGAGGGCTCCTTCATCTGAGAACGATTCAACTGGGAATTCAACCAACCACGTAACACAAATCCACAGAGTCAGCCCAGCTATTTAGACATGTAATTTACACCCATGGACCCCAAACCATTATCTATACAAGAGATGGATGGAGAGAGAACACAGAAGGCCCTCCACAGATAGTCTGTCAAGCTTACATGCCTGAAAGGTAGAAACTGTGTCCCAGTGTGTCATCTAGGCTACTTCTACAGTTAATGGAGAAAGAGAGGTATCTCCAAGAATGATTCATCCCACCTAGATTTAGGACTGCAATAACCTCCTAGAATTGCTTACCATTCTCAGTCAACTAACTCAAAAAAGATAAAAAAGTTAACAACATTAATTTTAAATGCTAGACTGCCAGCTTTTTATAGGGCCCTGGTGAGGAGGTATTAACTCATCCATCCATACCTAAATGAACTAGACCAAATTGCATCTCAGGCTTCACCGGCTCCAGTGTTTACTGAATTATTTGTCTTTGTAGTGTTGACACATTCTGGGAATCAGAAGATGGAGATTCTAATCCAGGACAAATCCTTTGATTTCTCTAGTTGCTCTCCTTTTATC